GACGTCGGACAGTGTTAGATATGACAAAATAATAATTTACAAATTATCAAGGGTTCATGTGGGAGAGGGGAGCGGGGAGGGAGGGGGTAAAATGAGGAGCTAATGCCAGGGGCTTAAGTGGAGAGCAAATGTTTTGAAAAGGCAATGGATATATAAATGTGCTTTACACAATTGATGTATGTATGGATTGTGATGAGTTGTATGTGCCCCTAATAAAATGATTTTTTTTAAAAAGGAAATGTCATAACTGCAAAGGGAAGAGCTGTGGTATCTGCCATCGTCACCAATTTTTCAATACACCCCAACAGTGGAGTTTTGTGCATCTTTGGGGCTGGAATCAGAGCCTAAATCCAGTATGAGGTCTTCACAGAGAAATTCTCCTCTAAGGAAGTGAGGCTGTGGAGCCACATAAAGGACAATCTAGGTAAGTTTACAAATAGAATGCAAGGAGATGGGTCTGTTCACTGGTCTAAGAGGCTGTGACTGGCACCAAGGTGATTATTACAATAACATGGCAACAGAACCCATTATATTTTGTGAATGGGTGAACCTGGGGGTTCACATAAATGCCACTGAAGCCAGCAGACCCAACTGGAAAGAACTAGATGATGAACTTATGAAACGAGTTGTACTATATGTGAATTCCAAGTGGTCTTCCCTAAAGACGTCTGGGGATGTCCTTTTGTCAGGGGCAGAGAGCTTTGCTAAGCTGGGAGAAGTGGTGACAGGTATAAAGCCAGCCCAGTGTGAGAAGACCACAGTGCTCAAGTCTTTGGGAATGATAGTGGAGAACATAGTTGTAGCCAAAGACATGATTCCTGGTCATCTGGGCAATGAAATAAAGAAATCTCAAGTTGAGATGGATGGTACTGTTCAAGGGATATCGTCATGATAATTTCATAAACTTGAGATTAATGGAGTGTAGTGGCCAATGAACTTATCATGTCTTAAAGAGATCCCCATCCATGTCCATAGTGGGGAAGCCCACTGATGCCCATTTCTTCTATCATACCAGGGTAGAGTATATGCCTTTCACTACTTTTTTCATTCCTTGGAATAAAGCATTTTGAATTCTACGGGG